AAGAGCATTTTGATAGCCACATCTCCACAATTTTACGGGTTTAATCAATTCGAAGCTTAGATATTACCCATTGAACGTACAATTGAAAGCATTCGCTAAATTATTTCAACTTGATAGTCCCCAGCAAAACCTATAAAATGAAATATGAGGTCTACCAGTTCACTATGCAAGGAGGAAAGAAGCAAACAGGTGTGCAGTTCAAAACACCGACTCTCCCGAGTTGAAGCGCATGGAAATCGCGTTTATAAAACATTAGTTTGACATTACAAAATCAGCAAAAAGTATCCTTTTTTTTTGCAAAGAGTGACAACCGACGACGCATGTATCAACAGACCATCCACAGCGAACTCACTTGCTGGTTGGGTATATACATGGCTACTGTAGCTCCTTCAGGATGCGCCACCCAAGAGTGAACCAAAGCTCGACTCTGGGGCAGCAGCGTATCCCAGAGACCGAGGTTGAATTCTCCAGATGAGGCGCCTGCTGTTATCAATACAGAAGAACTATGGCCAACGAATCTCACATCCGAAGCTGATTTGTTGTGACATCTTTGGCTCTGTAAGAAGGAAATACTGCCAAAATGGCGCAGGTGAAGAACAACACTTACGAAGAAGGGCTTCTTATGCTCAGTAGAATGGCTGGCTTGCCACAGGCACATCAGACCATCTCCATCAACAGCTGCGAACTTATTGCCGTTGCAAGAAAAGGATATTTTAGCCACCTAAAAGTGAAAATGTCGACCTTGGTAACAAAGCAATTGACTACTGACTTTGGCATGCTGCCCAGCGACACGAGCGGTGTACACAGGCGCTCCAGCACTCCACTCCCATACCCTGATAGAACCGTCCGAAGAGCCGGTCACATCTAAATACAAATATTTGGCCCTGAAAATTTCATCCCTTCACTTACACAATGGAGCTGTTGGGTGGGAATCTATCCTGCGGATTCCATTGACCGCTCTTTTGAACATCTGTAATCAGGAAATATTATTTTACTATATCACTTACCACAATGCAAAGCAACGTTTTTACAGGTACGCAACTAAGATGGAGGGCACTAACACATCACATCATACCTACCTTTTGTAGTCCCATCCTACTTCTATCAATAATCCAAGGGGTTATTGGCTGAGGAATTGGTGCTTGGTGATTAGTGATAAAAGAAAATAACTGACTAAACACATACCATGGTCGCTGTTTTAGGTCCTTGGGTTTGTTGTGCGCCTTCAGTAAATAGCTGGTAATCATCGTTCTCCTTCAGTGGATCGCGACGACTTGTTAAAAAGTTCATCTACAACGAGACGTATATATTCTTAAGTCAAGCTAGACTATATGACAGACATCTAGCTCAGTTCGATTGTACAGCCAAGATGTTGCATTATTCGATTCTTCAAATATTCCAGAAATGTCCATCTCCTGTAGTTCTCGTCCTGTGGAGACTACCAACCATCCAGGCTTTTCCTGCCAAGGAAGGAAACATAATATCCGTTAATTACAGATATGGCAGTAAACAGAAATGGTCGTTGCATCGTTTTTAAGAAAAGACTAACAATAGGATCGCCATATGATAGGATATTTCAAACGAGCAAAACTAACCTGATTACAAGCGAAGGCGACAATTGGTTCACTGTCTTTCTGAATGATTTTGAAAGCGTCTGGAAGGGGCTGGTTTTCAATACCGGCTAGGGTATCATTGCGTTCGGGTGGCTGCTCCTGGATGTGATGATTTGTGCGCGTATCGGACAGAAGAACAAAACATACCTGCTGCCCCTGTGCTACAAATATATGTCTTACGAACAGATGCTGGAGATGATCTTGATGAACCATGTACGACCATAATCGCTGCAGAGGACCAGCTCGAGGATCCTCGGATTCAAAAGGGGTGTTATTCTTTTCTGTGACGACAGCGTACTTCCTGCAAAAACTTCAAAAATGCGAAGGCCTTCATTGAGATGTCATAAAGTGACTTCGATGTGATGGTAAGATGGGATTCGCTGAGATCTAGAGTCATATTCGGCAGCAAGTCAATCGGGCAACCCCCGCGATACGTCTGAAGAGCGTGGCGCAGTTGCAAAGACCAGCCATCGAGAAGGCGCAGCACAGCTTCGACACGCGGAGCCAGAGCGGGAATATCTGCAAAGACCGATGCAATGAGATGCTTCTGATGCTCAATAAGTCGACGAAGAAACACTTAAGTAAATTTGGATAACTACCGTTTGGATCAAAACCAGCAAGCATCAAAAATTGTCGAATTCTGAAGATCTGTTGTTCGACAAGAGCGAGCCTGAGCAGTTGCCAGGCGTAAGATGTAGGATTTGCGTTTTCGCATCTAAATTGTAACAATAAAAACCTGCGAATTGATGTATTGAACAGATTGAAGAAGGTAAGATACCCTAAAATCTCACAGATAAGTCCTCCCAACAGATAAG